TATATAAAATATCTAAAATAACAAATAACATTTATAGCAACACAACCATTAAAATTACTTATGAAGATAATGTCCTGATGATGCTAAAATAAATGTTCTTATTTATTCCTTTTGAATTTGTAGTGAAATATGACTCAGACATGTTTGTTTCCTCTAAGATTTATTATTTTGTTAACATAAAACAAAAGCCTAGACCTGATAAACATCTCTGATTACCTCTGTGATGAAAAGAGCATTCAGGAACAGTTCTCCTCTGTCCTTATGCTCACACACAGGATCTGCTCAGGCTCTCAGTTGCTGTATGATGCACATATCGTGCAGTGACAGGATGCATACAGTCCAAAGAGTAAAACAGCCACTTTGCCTCTTTAAAATGAGTGACACTGCATTTAGACATTAATTATTGAAGCAGTTTCTTTAGCCTGCTGTGCTGTGGCTATAATTTATGAGTCGTAAATGCACATATGAGACAGGAAGTGGAAAAGCTCTTAGGATTATTTTTCGAACCACAGAGGGAGTTTTAACATTTCTGCAAAGCGCGGCAGGATGTTCTTTGTCACTCAGAGCTGCTGCTATATAAACTGTGACCAGAAGCACAAAACAAGCATCACTTAAAAGACACTTCATTACTGTTTCTGAGGGTAAGAGGCATAAATAGAGCTCAACTGTCTTTATTTGCCATTTTTCATCATATTATTTTTGCCATATTCATCATATTATTTTTGGAGAGTTTTATAATCCACCAATTAATTTGCTTTTTCATGATGTTGTTGGCCAACTGAAGAGGTGCTTCAAAGCTCAAGTGTGTTTCAGAGACAAATGTTTAATTGTTTTTAACATTTAAGGATGAGGCGCTTGAAGGCTGCAGTGCTTACCAGCACATAGCACATATTTAAGAAAAAATAGGTGGTTTTAAAAAAGAAATTAAGCAGCACAACTGTTTTTCATATTGATAATGATAAGAAATGTTTCTTGAGCACTAAATTGGCATATTAAACTGATTTCTGAAGGATCATGTGAGGCTGAAGATTGGAGGAATGATGCTGAAATTCAGCTTTGCATGACAGGAATAAATTACATTTTCATACATATATTCAAATAGAAAGCAATTATTTTAAATTGCAATAATATTTCACAATATTACTGTATTTTTGATCAAATAAATGAAGCATTGGTGAGACTTTTTGAAAAACATTTTGAAAGGTAGTGTATGTATATATGACTGTTCATTTCTTTTCTTTTTTTCTTTAGATTTTAGGTTAAATATTACCTAGGCATATTCTTTGACAGATTTTGTGTTTTAGATTTACTCACTTTATATAATAACAAATGGGATGAATTTATTAATGTGTTCCAGAGGTTGTTGCCATCTGTGCAAAAAACTGCGAAACATCAGTACAGAGTGTCCATGTTACACATATTATTATTATAATTAATTGCTATAGTAGTATAATTACAAGCAGCTCCACAAAATAATTACACACTAAGCGCATATAGTTCATTTGTTTTACTCAGCACTTACACAGTACAACAGGAACAGCATGTGTGCACTTGCACTAATGCATCTCTGGTCTGTGTTAATAGGTCAGTACTCGGATACAGAATAACCAGTGACGGCGAGCCAACCCTTAACTCTCCACTGGTCAGCAGCGACAACAAGGATGACCACACCTACAGTTTTGCCAAATCTTCCAGCTCGGATGTCGAAGAAGAGGCCCACTGCGATGGAAGCGAGGTGAGCTTCCACGCCAACGAGGCCGGCAGCGATGCCGAGGAGGACGACAAGAGCAAAATCAAGAAGGAGCCCAAGGAATGGTCCGTGGATGCCCTCGCTCTGGCCCAGCACAAGAAATGGCAACATTTGACGAAAGTCAAACAGAGAGTGGCCAGTGACACTCTTCCTCTAAAAAAGAGGCGCACGGAGAAGCCTCCGGAAAGTGACGACGAGGAGATGAAGGAGGCGGCCGGATCCTTGCTTCATTTGGCGGGAGTCAGGGCCTGTTTGAACAATATCACCAACCGGACGGCAAAGGGGCAGAAAGAGCAAAAATAATGAACTGACTGTATTATAAAGAGAAAAAAAACATCACTTTGAATAGAATTTACTATTTTTTTCCAGGACATCAGGTGAATTCTACTGATTTGTGGCAATATCAACAATCACTTTGTTTTCCTATTTTTATAGGTAACATTTTACTGAGGGTTCCTTGTTTTAGTTCACTTTTAGTTCATTTTATTGTGATTTATTTTTTAATCTACGGAGATTGAAGCCATAGCCTTCCCTTTTTTAAGATATTAAGTAAAGCATTTCATTTGACTGAGAAAAAAGTGATAGTAAAAATTGTCCTGCCCCATTGTCATAGTTAAAGGGACAGTTCACACCAAAATGAAAATTCTGTCATCATTTACCCACCCTCATTTCAAATCCATAAGACTTTCGTTCATCTTTGGAACACAGTTTTGTTTTACACAAATGAAATTCAATCAGATCTGAAAGATTTCTGTCCCTCCACTGAAAGTCTATGCAACCAAAACTCTGACATTTTAAAACATTCATAAAGAGACGTTCAAAAGAAAAAAAATCCACATAAATTAAGTGGTTTATTCCAAGTCTTGCTTTATATGATGAACATATTTAATTTTGGCTTTTATTCACATACACATTAAGCAAACAGTGTTTATAACATTCAAATTTGGTCATAGAAGCTCAAGCATGCTTGCTTGACACGCAAGAACCAATGAGGTTCTTGATTGTGTTTCTTCGGGAGACTTGGATTAAACCACTTTATTTTTTTATTTATGTTTTTTTTTTTTTTTGTCTTTATGAAAGTTTTGAAACGTGAGAGTTTTGGCTGAAAAGACTTTCAATTGGACAGAAATCACTCACATTTCATTAAAAATATCTTCATTTGTGTTCCAAAGATGAGTCTTTGGGTTTGGAACCACATAAGGGTGAATAAATGATGACAGAATTGTAATTTTGGGGAGAACTAATCCTTTAAAAACATGACAACAAATTGTGTTCTGCAGCACGTTCTGCAGTCAGAGTAGTTCTCGAGTTAGTGATAATTATGGGTTATAGTAATCTCTGCTGTAATATAAGATGTTTTAGAAGCACAGGGCAGTGCCAAAGACAATCCTCAAGCAGTTTCTCTGATGTCACTTCCCCTTGATGCTCTGGTTGTTAAAGCATCGTGTGGAAAACACTCATAGTTGTCGTTTGGCTCATATGAATCATAGTTCACTGGGATGAGAGTAAAGCCACAAGCTTTTGTCATAGTGCTTTTTGGAGTCAAAAGTGATACATTTACCAATAAGTCTCTTAAAACTGCCCACGTTTTTTTCCTAAGCAATCAAATTGAGTGATATTTTCCATCTAAACAGATAGTGGATGGTGATACTCTTTCTTCGGCACAATGAAAATGAAAACTCGGAGCTAAAGCTACAATACCTGCCAATTGTATTTTAATAGCAGAAATGAATGACTGTGGAGTTGTTTTGTGTTTGTTCATTTGTTTACTTTTTAAAAAAAAAATTTATTTGAAACCCTCCTGATGTAATAAGCAATTTCATCCAGTCAGGATAAACACTGTATAAAAGTAACACTAGACCATTTTCCTTTCTTAATTTAAGCAATGTAGCCAGCAGGATTTTCCAAATCGTGTTGCATGGGTTCTGTAAAGATAAAAGAAGACCGTTTAAAAAAAAAATCAAAGTTCATGTAAGGTAAATAATGTATTTAGCATGGAGCATGAATTATTTTCATATATAAATATGCCAATTGGCCTAGTCTCTTTTGTTGTTTTTGTCGGATTTGATTTCCATTTGTCGTCCTCATCGCCTTTGTGTTGAAGCAGGCATCTTTAACAATTACCTTCTTCAGGGACAAACACTGACTGTTGGGAAACTCTCTCTGCAATACGAGGACTGGGGCTCGGGCCGTCTCGGTCCACACTAGCGGCCGCCCCGAATACCCACGAATACCCGCTACGCCAATGTCAATGTCGTCAAGGAGAAGTTCGTAGTGAGTGTCGGTCCCCTTCCGGCTTCGTGCCTGCTTTACTTCCATATGTAATCCAGATGTGCATGTCTGTGATTTATTCAGGGTCTTCCATTTTGTTCCACGAGACTTTGGATCTGCAGTTTTTTTTTCTTTCATTTTATTCCTGTATTTACATGTAGCACTGTTCAGGAGTCATCAGTATTGATTCAGTTGTTCTCGGTACAGGGAGTCAGACGGTTATTTACACCTCCACGCATATATATTTAAGCACTTATAGACAATAAAAACAAGTGATACCAGAGCTCAGTGCAAACGTTTGTGTATATATTTTCACGACCTCAACGAATTGCACTTTTATTGTTTTACGTATAGTAAAAAACTTAAGGATTCAGTGCCAAAGCTTGTAATAACTCTACACCAGAGATGGGCACGCAAGTTAGTGACTCAAACTCGAGTCGCATTTATAATAGACTTCAGACTTGACTTCAGACTCGACCTGAAATGACTCCAGACTTGACTCGAGTAAAAGGAAAATTTTAAAAGCAACTCGAGTCTTTTATTCTTAAAGGTGACGACATATCATGAAAATCTGACTTTTCCAGGTTTTAAGTGCTATAATCAGGACCCCGGTGCATCTACCAACCAAGGAACCGTGAAAAAGATTAACGCAGTAACTTTGTTTTGGTAAGCCTTTTTCTGCAAGCGTCTGAGAAAACGAGCGTGCTTTGACGTGGCAAAGGGATCTCATTATAATATTACTGCCCCTTAATCTGTAAGTTTCCACCCACGGCACCGTCATTTTGATTTCTGTTTCTGCTTCCACTCAAAATAGGCATTTTCAAAATGATATTATAAATGATCTGTGGAGTATTTTGAGCTGAAATTTCACAGACACATTCTGGGGACACCAGAGACTTATATTACATATTGTAAAAAGGGGCATAATATGTCTCCTTTAAATACTTATATAACTGATATTCAAAAGGCAGACCGCATTCGCACCCCGGCATCCATCCGGACCACGAGCGGTAACAGCAGCACTATTTTAAGTGAGCAGCGCGTCAAAACAGCGGAGCAGATCACATAACAAACGCTCAGGGTCGTTTATGGTAAATATCTTTCAGCGCTATATCCTAACATTTCCGTCTCACGCTTGAGGTATTCGGCCAATCACAACGCACTGGATAGCTGGCCAATCACAGCATACCTCGCTTTTTCAGACCGATGAGTTTTGTAAAAATCGACGCGTTTCAAAAAGGCGGGGCATAGAGGAGAAACAATAATGTACAGTATGTGGAAAATAATGTGTGTTTTTAACTTTAAACCGTATAAACACATTTCATTACACCAAATACACAAAATAATGTTATTTTTAGCAGCATCATATGACCCCTTTAAGAGCTGCGGATGACGCGGTTATTTTAACAACAACAGAAACACGGTGAACACCAAAATTATAGATTATTTTCACTAAAACACAACAGAAAACAACAATGCTGCACATATAGTTATTTTTCTTACTATCTGTCAGATGTGATTTAGCATTATTAATATGTAGGCTAAGAACATTTCAAAAGAATCATGTAGCCTAATTAAAATTGGGAAAATTGTTGTTAGATGGCTAGGATAGAACTTAAACTTTGAAACTGCTAGTTATCTTTCTTTTTTTGCTCAAGATGAGAACGTTTTGATTATTGTAGCTACATTGTTTTTAGTAGATAATGCTTGTAAGTAAAATATTAAAATAGTATAGATTTCAGGAGCAAAACCCTGAAAAAAAAAAACTGTCACATGGCCTTGCGTGTATCTAAATGTAAAAATACAATACATGCTTGGAAACTATAGAGGCCATGCCTCTTGGAACTTTCATTGAATACCCTGATTTATATCATAAAGAAATACTTATTTGTATGGTTTTGTAATATCTGTCAAATATTTCCTTCAGTGTCATGGTAGATTGGACTCTTATTGTATAATTTGATTACAGAAAACCTTAGCGAGCCATTAAATGACTTGAGACTCGACTCGGACTCGTGACCAAAGACTTGAGACTTGACTCAGACTCCAGCGATAAAGACTTCAGACTTGACTCGGACTCCCAAGTTAAAGACTTGTGAACATCTCTGCTCTATACACTGCAAAACGGACGACGCATACTTGATATGTCGGTCACAAACATGTCAATAAGTTGTAGCATTTCTGTCAAGTACTCATGTATAAGATATTCTCCATTATATTTGTTAATATCACACTGCATTGCTGTGTTTCATGAAGTCACACTGCCTTCCCCGTTCATCTGACGATGATGATGATGGTTCGTCCCGATGTTTTGTAGCGTGTTGAATGTTATATCTGACCCATGAGTGTTAATGTGACGTCTCCAGTTGGCATGCCTTTCCCTAACCGAGCTAGACATTTATTGACGCAAACTAACCCTGATTATAATCTTGTCTGCTGGTCTTTATAAACATCTGTCATATCACATTTCCGTTCAATATGCTTCAAACTGGGAAACCGGTAGAGAGAGCTATGAGTCCTTTATACACTGCCTTCCTAGACAACACTCACTACGGAACTTTTCCTTTATAGTTCTTTTAGAGGAACCTGAAACATGTTAAAAAGCATCAAGAAGAGCCAGCCAAAAAAATGTTAATAGGAGGCGAAGTGTTTCTTTTTCTTCCCATTGTGTGTTTTTTTGTTTGTTTGTTTAAAGGTTCCTTTTAACTGCCATTCTGTTACGTGTTTGAGTTGTTTAAGATGAAAGTAATGGCGTCCATTTGGTTTGTGATGAAATATTCGGTCTGATGGCATGTGCACCCTGCTAATATGTCAATATAGAGGCGTAATTGCACTCTGTATTTCCTTTGACTTCTAATCATATTGCCAAAGACAACAATTTTATCTATTAATGTAAATACCACTTTGTCCATTGCTACGACAAATTCTATTTGTTTGTTTCATTTTATTTTTTTCTCCAACCCTACCATCAAGTTTCTGTGATGTATTGTCTTCCAGTTGCAATAAAAAAAAAGTTGCAAAGGTGATCCTGGACTAGCATGATGTTTTTTTTGCAGCTCTAAATCCATTGTTGATATTATTGCTTAAAAGGATCATATAATACTCAATATGTTTAACTGGAAGAGAAATTGGAAATATAGCTTAAACCAGAGTTAGCGACATTGTGTATTGGATTAAAATTATTATTATTTTTTCGGTTTACCAACTTGTGACATTTCTAAATGTTGTTGCTTCACCATAATATGTGTGCAACGAGGACTAAAAATCAAAAACATATAAATGCAATTATATTGGAATAAACTACATAACCATTCAAAAGTTTGGAATCAGTAAGATATTTTTAAAAGAAGTTTCTCCTGCTCACTAAGGCTGCATTTTTGACCAAAAATGCAGTATAAATAGTAGTATTGTGAAATATTATAACCATTTAAAACAACTGTTTTCTATTTTAATATATTTTAGAATGTAATTAATTCTTGTGAAGGCAGTGCTGAATTTCCAGCAGACATTACTCCAGTCTTCAGTGTCACATGATCAGTGACTCACAGAAATCATTCTAATATGCTGATTTGGTGCTGAAGAAACATTTATTATTATTGATGAAAACAGTTGAACATTTTTTCCTAGTATTAATAAAAACAGTTGTGCTGTTGTGCATCCTTGTTGAACAAAAGTTCTTTTTTTTAAATAAAATTAAATCTTACTGACCTTAAATCTCACTGTTGGAAAATGTAATTGCTACATATTAAAACAAAGAAAAAAACCCTCTCAATAACTTTACAAACCCTAAATTCTCTTTATTATGTTGTGTTTCTCTCTACTGTCTGCTGATGTCATCTTATTGTACTGATCCATTACAGAATGTCACATGACTAAACTCCAGCAGTGACAGTATCTGGAACATGACACAATTTCTTTATTGATCCTGACTGTCGCTTCCTTCTCAGCAAACAACCTCCCAACTTCACACACTGCACATTTGCAGATGAAAGACTGGAATGAACAAATAATATGATTATAAAGCATAAGCTAGTGGTTTAGCTTGCAGTTACATTCTTAAAGATACAGTGCAACTATTTTAAGTTTCAAATCAGTCTGTATGCAAAACTGGCCATATTTTATGATCTTCATAAATGAAACGAACATTAAACATGAGTGTTGAAAGAGTTTGATGATGTCTGCCAGTCTTATCAGAGTGAACAGTTTACACATCATTTATAAGCCCTGATGGAGTCTGTGGCCTATTATTAATCAAAGAGTGAGCGTTTGGAAATCAAAACTGCCTCCCTGCACCCTGTCACCACACCCATGCTCGCCTGTGTTGCTATGCAACTGCAGGAAAAGAGAGACTGAAAATGTACAAGAAGCTTTTTGCCAGACACAGACTTATAGAGTTCATCTATTTTGCAAGGGTTACGCACAGGTTACCGGAGCTGAGGTAACATGCGCCCTTTACTTTACACCGACATAGTCCGGAGAAAATTCTATTCAAAACGAAACTAAACACCAAACAAATGTCATTATTCAATTTGGGCTGTCTGTGCGTGTTTGTGTGGAGTTTGGCATGCCTGTGACCTCGTCGTACAATCTCTGCAAATTTCACGCTGGCAGTCAAAAGGCTGTTTCATTTACTCAGTAAATCTATCTTAGTGTTCCTCTGAAATCTCCCACGAGAGTCGGAGCGCAGCCCCAAAACACACTTCCAAAAGACATATTGCATGTGTTTGTTGCCAAGGAAACAAAGCGAGGCGGCTTTCATTCCAGCACATCCGGATGTTATTTTTTTTTGTCTATCGGCAGAGCGTAACATGAAAAACTGCACTAGGGTTTATCGCATTGTTGCGTCTGGGGAGCGGCTGCCCCCTTCATCACCTAAAAAGTTGTCGTCTCAGGAGGTTTGTTTGCAGGGCCGCTGCTGGCCAAATGGGTGCCCTAAGCAGGATTGTATTGTTGTGCCCCCGTTCCTCAAATATTATGGAATTAAAAAAAATAAACACCTACTATAGGGGTCAAAATAGAACTTTAATAAAATATAAAAGTAAATAAATGGTATCATTTACTAATTACAATTGTAGCTCTAGACAGTTGCCTATGGCTATGACTTTATTTTAATACAGTTGTCTAATTGATTTTATAGTCTCAAGCATTCAGAAATCACGCAAAAGAAAATTAAGCAGTTTTACTACGATAAAACCATGGTTTATTTTTGTAAGTGTTGTGATGTCCACATGTTTTTTGTTGAAGAGACTGTGTCATCTATAGCAAAAAGCTGGCCAAAAATGAAAGATTAAGTGAATATTTGAATTAAATGTTTGGCCAATAGCCTAAACAAGGATTTGATTGTCCTGTAAGTGTAGCAGCAGCAATTGCCAGGCCTTTGGCTCCCTTTGCAGGCATTTGTAATAACATGTAATGTACATAAATTGTTTATTTTATATTAGCCTACATTATGTATTTTAACAGTGTTATTAACCAATTATCCCTTACAAAAATTAAGCATGGTTTTACTACAAATAAAACAAAACAATGCTTACTATAGTTAAACCATGGTAACCACAAATTAACCATTGTTTTGCTACACTAACCATAGTTTAACCATGGTATTTATAATAAAACTGT